TAATAAAAATAATCACAGGTTTACTCCACCCACCCCACTATGAAGTGAAAGGCTGTTTATAATAATTTTAATTATAAACTTCTATGCCCCTGCACCCAATCGTGGGGATCAATCATACTAAACAACAGGTGTCACTATTACTAAGAAAAATGTACTTTTTTCATTATATATATATACTAACAAGAATTGGGAAAAAGCAAAGACTTGCTACATGCATTCATACAAAGCATTACAAAAACCTAAACCACCTATAAATTTGACACATATTGCGAATACCTACTTAAACACGTATACTGTAGCTTAAACTCCAAAATTCAACCCATTAGAGAAGTGCTTCTAATAGAGAAAATACAGTATTTATCTAAACCGTGTTACACATGTTTTCTAGACCTACTATTATGGAATATAATGGCTCAGTTGAACATAACCAATATAACCAACTAGAGATTGAAGAGACAGATTGTTGAGGGTCAATTTCGAAAAAAAGTTAGATAATTATATTTATGAACTGTTCTTATAACTATATTATAATCAACGAAAACTTAGGAAGCAAATTATGTGTGGTGAGAGTATTAGAGGCATTTGTAGTATAAATATGGGATATTCAAAATTCAGAATTAATGATTAGCCATTTAAACATGGTGAATAATGTACATGTAGGTTAGATATTTGAGATGCACAATGTGACCCTCTGTATTGCAATTTGTAATACATTTAATTTCACATTTGTGGTTTGTAGGTTGATTATTATCTGTGCAACAATTTAAATCAACAATTTACCTTTGTAATTAATATGCATGGTTTTCAGCCTTAAACCAATCACTTCTATATATTACCCCCAGATCACCTACTTATGTATGTAACAAGTGTCATTGAGATCTGATTGTTATTGAAAAATATGCTAATTTATGTAGATTAGACAGTTATTACACACTGATTTGAACCAACAAATTGAACAGGCATGTGGAGTATCCAAGAGAGTCTACATAGTAATGTGATGATTAGTGCTTGCGATATCAGTAAAATAATCAAAATCAAAAAGTTGAATTATTATGCAAACTTAGATATCCTTGCATGACAGAGATTGCACATAGCCCATAAAAATGTACAGTGCTGAACATCTACGCTACATAGGACGTTCTGTGACGTAGCCTCTTCCCTAAAATAAAACTTCTCACAAATTGTGATACGAAACAATTCTTCAATGCATGATCTCCTGCAAGTTGTGATCATAAATAAATTGTATGCAAATACAGTCAAGATACATTAAAATAAAAAATACTGACAAAAAGTTTTTTTTTTATTACATGACATTTCAAGTTACAAGAACGTAAGTTTTTAAAGTGGGAGCAAGCTTTAAAACACTTTAAACGTTTTATCCTAAAACAGTAAAAGTGTGTTAATTTGAAACAGTAGTGTTGTAGTATAAACACTTTAATTTTAAAATATTCATTCATTTATGTAACATCAACAAATCTTTCTCTTACAGCACAATGAGAGTGTTTATTATTAGACTTGGGAAGACCATCACAATAGATTGCGACCAGTTAACGACCATTGCAAATTTAAAAGACATGGCAGGTGTTCCAGGAAATTGTCACTTAGTCTACGGTTCTGAGTTCCTGACGAGTTACAATTGTCTGATGGACTACGAAATTGAAGACGGGTCAACGATTTCTGTGGCTGAACCTTTACGTGGTGGTGGTTGGAATGTTTGGGTCGAAATCTTAACTGGTAACAGCAAGACTCAATATGGTTGTGACATGTCAACCACCATTGGAAACTTGAAAGCCATGATCCAGAAGAAAGAAGGCATTCCACCAGTACAACAGTGTCTCATGTATGCTGGTAAGCAGTTGGCAGATGAGCAGATATTGTATGATCTACAGCCCCCGTCAGAGAATTTTACGTTGGTGTTACATATCATCAAGGATCGTCAATACCCTACCCATAAAAAACAACAAAACATTGACTGCTGTGCCATTTGTTAGACAGATTAGAAAAGAGTCATTATAGCATATATTACAGTGTTTTGTGTAATCACGCTACTATATCAACATGTACGTTTTTACTTATAGATTTCCTATAGACGTGTGAATAATTTTAATAATTAGGTTTAGATTTCATATATATGCATAGTAACTTTTAACAAAAATGCAAGTTATTTTTGCTATATACTGAATACAAGAACATAGGTCAACAACATTTGTTGAATTTAGTTAATAATCTAGCTCCATAAAACTCTCTTTCTCGTGTAAATTTTTCAATAATTCTACTACTTCATTTTCAACTTCTAGTACATTAATTTCATCTAGAGTATACTCTTCCTTAAATGTTGATATTATTTCTGTTTCATCATTATCTGAATCTATCATCATCAATATCATAATCTATTTACTTCAATCGTCTGTTTTATTATTCCTACTCTATCATTCGTGCAGCATTTTCAGCGACATCCGGTGCCACATCAGAGTTACCTTTTAGCATTTCTGTTTATAAATCCAGATTTACAGCCTTTTTATATACATTTACCATGTCATATTGCACTGTCTCATATAATTTCAACCTAATTATTTGACAAATTGGAAATCATGGTTTGTGTGGAGTGGCAACGCCTTTTGGGATTTGTGAGACCGGTTCAAAACATTGAAGATTTTAACCAGTGAAGTTCTCAAATAACCAAGTTTGTAATTGCTTTCGGCTTCAGGTTATATCCTACTGGGAACTGCAGTTTGAACTAATGCATCGTCTACCGAGCCGTCTTGTTTCACAGTTTAATTTGTAGCATACGCTCGTGCAACGAGTCATCGACCGGTAGACTGTATGACGCATTTTTCAAATCACATGTATTTCCTACTATTTTGTAGTATTAGTTCGATGTAGTGTACTTACATATGTGACGAGTAAGTGTACAGTCTTGCAGTTCTATTTAGCCATACGTTGAAATTGCGTGGTTGAATAAATGGTATTAGCAGTCAGAACTAAAGCACTTTTCTTGTGTTTTTTTGCAACGTTTCAACTAAAAACACCTGACATTGGATGAAGTGCTTATGTACAGGATACCTGTGTTTGCAGTCTTATCAACTAAATACAGCATATTTATCAGACAAAAATGCCCACACAACATTGTTAGCAGACAATACTGTGCATGTAGCGATGAATTTATTGATTTTAGTATTTTCAAAAATAAAACAGCTTCATATATTCATGTATTTTGTCCATGTGTCTACCATGTAAGTTTGGTGACAGGTTTAACATACATGACGCAGTTATCAAAGCTCAAGTTAGTAAACTGAATGACGTAGAGCAGGATAGGCGTTAATTCCCTCTTGAATTTGGAAATTTAATGAATACAATACAAACTAATATTGAAAGATAATTTGGGTTGCTTTTGTGAGACGCTTTTAGTAAACTGTGTGTTAACAATAACACTATTTGCGTGTTCAAGTAACTTGTGTCATGCGCACGCTCATGCAACAATTGGAATATACTACCAGGTGCATGTGGACAGGTAACATGTTCGTTAAAGAAGCAACAACAATTTGGTTCGATGGCTTTTTAGATTTACTGAGAAAGACTGGCCCCAGAAGTTATACTAAATGAAATTGAAAGTATGGTGCTATTGTTACTCCATTACAAAACGTGTGGAAAATGTAATTGTTAGAGCCAGCATAGGCAGCTGTGTACTGCATCGTCATTTGCAGTGGCCTACATTCATTTATGTTCGGGCTGGTACTGTACTTGATTCATGCATTTAGAATTGCATACTGCAGAAATTCCTTGCCGGCATCCCCCGGAGTCATGATCCAAGTTCAAGAAGTGGCAGAACTCAACAGGAAAATGCAGTTCAATTTGTGTTATTAGTGTATTGTATTTTTTCAGATTGCAGAGAACAAAATAAAGGTTTGGTAAAAGTGGACGAGACGATGTTCCAAACTGCCCCGTTTTAGGGGCTATTTTAAAATTGATGAAAAAAGGAATCTGGCCATTGGACGGATAGTGACAGATGAAAGAGATGGAATGCAGATTTGGGGATTTAGAAATTGATAATGAGATTGGAATAAAGTAAATTTATATCTCATGAGCACATTTCTAGTCTAGAAAATAAATGATTTCTTTTATTTGTCTCACTTTGTTTTCTTTTTCCGAGGAATGTGATGTGCTCGCGGAGACTGCAATAGTACCACAGAGCAAGAGATCCGATACATTAATTTATATCAAAGAAGAACAAATTATTGTTTGTTTCAGTGTGATCAATCGTGCAAAGTGCTTGATTGCGAAACGCATCATTTGATATATTTTGCACATTAACACTTTCCAAAATATATTTCAGGTTCAGATAATGTGTATTGATAATGATATTTGTTACAAAATTATCAGCGGAAACGCATTTTTAATAATGTCGCTGATACAAGCACTTTTCAATATTTAGTTGGCGTTGCGTTGTGAATCTGGTGGAAACACTTTTCGCAAAATGCATCTTAAAAGTTATAATTCCGGCAAAATAATATTTTTGAAGCTGTGGATGGAAATCACTTCACAGTAACTTTGAAACCATGTTTCCGGGATCGTCGGAAATAACTGTAAAGCCATCGAAGTGGCAATCTGAACTGGAGAAATGCTAAATGCATTCTCATATGCGCAGTAATTCTTTTGAATTAACTTCCAGTCCTTTACATTGTCAGATGTCAATTATCCCTGTGCATTGAATGGTTTCGCCGATTAGTTCCAGTGTATTGTGATCATGTTAATCCCAGTTGTACATCGACTATATATAGTTGAATGTCACGTCATCGTGGTTGCTTCTTCAGACATCACGGTGGAGGAGGACCCTTGACAAAGTTGGTCACAGAATCTGAACGTTGTGGTGATATAAATGGCGGTTTGAACAATTCCTGAAGACTAACCAGCGCTGGGTTTCCGCGAGTGAATAGTCTCAATGTGTAACATCGTTCTTTCGCCAATTCTACTATCCTGGTGGTGACTAAACTTCGTTCTATGTACAATGAGCGCCGGCTCCCATTACGGACATAACTACAAGTCGTACGGACATATTGAGTCGTATGCGCCCGACACCCACACTTTTCATTAGTCTAGCTGTCAAGTATATTATTTGTATTTTTTGAAACACATTTTGTGTGTTTTGAAGCGGGGAATGCCGTATTGTATTTGGAAGTTGTGTAGCTACCATTAAGCATATTTATTAATCTATCATTTATTTTATTATAAGTTACTTGCTCGTGGTCGTGAGCTCTAGGGCATTATTCCATCACATGCGCTGGTGCTCATAATGTCGAGCGAGCTATATATATTTATTTCCCTTGTTTTTGTGATATACACTATTTACCAGAACGAAAAACCTGAAACGACACATGAGTGTGCATACGAACGAGGGACCCTGCCAGTGAGACAAGCAGTCTGAAAACGCTGAAAATGGAACGCATACAGGAGAACGGAATCATCAATGTAGTGTGTGGGACACGTGGTTTACCAGGGCATGTCATCTTAAAATTCATACGACACTCGCGGATTTAGCCTGCAAAAAAATGACCTACGACCACATCAATAGGAACGCACGCCCTTACCGAATTTCTGAATCCGCCAGTGTATGAAGATGAGATCTAAACAAATCTATGACAAATAAAGGCGTACAACTATTTCGTGTAAACTTTGTATAAATGCTACAATGCCAGTAACATTGGAAGATGCACACCTTTAATATTAATCACACTTTAATTATTGTCGTACTTAATCTGCCTTATTTCATGACCAGCGTTTTTGGCATTGTGTTATATCCAGTGTTCTCTTTCTCTTGTTATGTTCACAGTTATCTGTGTTACCCCAGTCCCTCTGTTCTGTGTTATTGTCCAATGGATAGGATTATTTAATTTTGCAGCAGTTCGCTAGAATATAAAAGATTAAATTAAAAAAACAGTTAAGAAGTTAACAATAGAGTGCATAGTTAATATTTTCATAAATAAACCAAGTTAACATCAAATCTGCTGAACTGCTAATCCTAGTGAACATTTGCACCTCCATGATGCCATGAGTGTTGTTTAATGTAGTAACACTGTAGCAGAATGAGCGATGGTGTTTTTTATTTTTTTTTACATTTTCGCCTATTCTGTATTCTGTCTTGAATAAAATAAAAATTACGTTTCCCTACAACAGAGCGTGGTTTATTTCCTCATTAACTTAATTCAGATTAATTTAGAAAGTTATCCACTTTACTTATCACGTCAGCGGAGGATACGTACACAATCACTAAGGCCTTGTAAAACGTAACGGTTGGTGTGATTTAAAGTTATTGCCATAATAATATACTAGTATGCAAGGTTACGTACGTAATTGACACACTAACTTGGAAATGTACTGCCAAGCTTTGACCAAGTAAAGAGTAATGTTTAAGAAAATTTGTCTATTTATCGACAATTATTCATGTTTAAAAATGGCGGAATCAAACATTATGTTTTCGTGATTTACACCATCATTTCCACAATTAAATGAAGCAGAATAAGAATGCGTATACTTAGCACGCAAGGTAATATCAACCGTCACGGTGCTCATATTTACCAATACCGAAAGGAAGAAAGGCGATGACATTGTTTATTTATTTATTGCCTACCGTTTAGGTGTACATGTATTGACCGAAGAGAACGTGACGTTTCAGTAATACACAGCGCACGGTATTGTGACAAAAATAAAGGAGGGGCTTCCCAGTACGTGTATGTGCCTGTTTACAGGTAGCCTGACATGTAGGCGTGAGTAGCGCCCTCGCCTGTTGAGTTGGAACTCCGCGGAAAGCGCAACTCACTCGACCTTGTCAGGCTAGTTTACAGAGAGTGTCAACAATGCATCGATATTCTGCTACAATATATATCCAATGCAATGGGAGTATTTAAAAACGTGAGTTTAAAGTATTCATGTGATCAGCAAGAAGTATCTTCATTGCACGTCCGCATACATGGAGCAGCTCAATGTAGTCAGGAAT